ACAACAAACAGACAACAACAAACAGATAACAACAAACAAACAAACAAGAAAAAACAAACCATTATTTATACCAGCTAAATGTAAATAATTTAAATGCGCGATATCAGCACCATTTTCTGGCACTTCCTGAATATGACAATTAATTTCATGCTCTGTTCGACCTTTATATTTCCATTCACCATTGATAATTTCATCGACATCTGGAATTTCCCATTCCGGATCCTTCCCATCACAGTGATACCTGATTAAAAGAAAAGAAAAATTATTTCATTTATTAATTTTTCCTATAGGTCATTTTTATGAAACAAAATCTGTCGGTGATTTTTGCGTATTATTGCAGTTTTTAAAAACAAATCTACCAGGCGTAAATATGCATATTTTTCTCGACCACTGGCCAAGTGGATACCTTGGCCTGTTCGGGTATTGTATTATTTGTTTCATATGGAATACGTGTACAAATGCCTGTTTCAGCGTTGAAAATCCATCCATGAAATGGACACTAAATTAACAATCATCATTAATTAATTAACACATAGTGCTATTAGTGTGAAAAAAATGAAAAATGAAAAATTATAAAAATTATTTCAATAATATTACATAAAATAAATTATTGACTAAATGCGAACAATTTTCATTTATACTTTGTAATAATGAATACTGACACTTAACTTTTGACAATACTTTCAATTTAATGATAATTAATTGACGGAATATAATGTGTACAAAATTTTTAATTCTTTTTTTAAAAATTTTAATATTATCAATTCCTTATTATTTCAAATAATCCCTTCGTTTTTTTTTTTTTCACAGATTGAAAAATCAATATTTTTGATCACAAATTTTATAACATTTAATTTTATCATTCTCTTTTTTTCAATTTTTCTTTCTTTCTTAATGGATTTTACGCAACGAGAAATTTAACATTTCATTATACACTTTCTAATTTAGCCATTAACGATATTTAAATCAACTAACTGTTATGAATTTGGATGAAATATTATTCTGTTTTATAAATAATTACATTTCTTTGCATTTGAAAAATTTCCATTTTGATACACTTTTGTAACAACAATTTCGTTTTAAAACTTAATTCTTTTTTTTTTTTTCAATGTTTGCGCTATTTCTGTTTCAATTCTTTTGTTATTTGCTATTTATTTCAATTAAGAAACTAATTAATTGTATTTACATCAATAGTTATGCATCCTACTTCAATAAAACCAATCACCTGTATACAATTATCGTTGACAACACGACCTCCGACGCTAAAATTTGCACCCAAATGTGGACAATATGAATCAATCAGGTATACTTTTCCGGTTTCGGATCGGAGTAATGTTAGTTGTTGTCCTTTGAAAAAAGTTTTTATTAACATTGATAGAAAAAAAAAAAACAATCAAAATAAAGATAAACAGTTATTATGAAAATTGTTTTATGCAGCGATAAAATAATATTTGTCCATGTATTTGAATTGATTTTTTAGTAATAAATGCCAATTTATTGTTTCTCAGTAATGAAAATGAGCTTATTGTTTACATAATGAACATGAATTTATTCTCTCAATAATAAATATGCGCTAATTGTTTGAATAATAAATATTGCGTTTATTGTTTTAACAATGAATTCGAGCTTATTTTTTTTTAATAATGCGCACGAGTTTGTTGTTCCAATAATGAATATGAGCTTATTGTTTCAGTAATATATAAAATCTTATTCATATATTTTTGCTAACTGATAATATATCATTATTCTTTATAGGACAAAAGAAAGCAATATTTACAACTTTGCCAAAATTCACAATGAACATTAAGTTTGTTTTTTTTGGTTGATGAACATTAAATTTTTTGTAACATTAAGATGGATAAGCCATAAATAAAACATCAACAAGTATTAAAGTATTTCAGATGATATTTTAATTTTAAGCTATATTAAATTTCCACATAAAACATATACAAATAATTTCAACTTTTTCTTAAAAACGAATTTTAATGATTGATTGATTTCTTTGCTGATTGCTTTATATTTCAAATCAATTTTAACAGTTTTAATTATAATTGCAATTTTAGCAATAAAAATCATGGTCTGACAGATAACGATGGTGATAATGATAGGTGTAATGATTGATTAAAAAAGGAGAAGGAACCTAGAAAAATAATTGGCATAACTTCTTTCAGTTTAATTTGTCTCGATTCAGCAATACAGAACCATCCATTTGGATATACAGGTGGTATTTTACCGACAAATCGTATTTTCTTCAATTTTTCCAAAAATGCTCTCCTGTACGGCTTATTTATCTGAAGTAAATTTTTTTTTTTTAAAAAAAAAACTATTTTAAAATTTTCAAAACTTTCTTTTCCTAAATTAAAACTGTCAAAGATTTCTCTTCTTCTGTTCAAGTTATTAAATGAAGCAAATTATCCTATATCAGTTATACGATTAGAATGTGAAGCAATTGCAAATCAGATTTGATTAAATTTAGAGACTTTTAAATTTCGGATAGAAATTTTTGTAAAATAAACAATAATATTACTAAGCAAATTTTCGCAATTAGCAACAATTTATTTAAAAATAATCTGGTAAACTAATTTATTGATTTTTGATTCTGAATTAATTTATTAATACCTTTATTTTGCCTACAAATACACCAACATCGCCAAAACGTTTGATTCGATTGAGCGGCTTTGTTAACCAATAGTAAATAAATGCAAATAGGACGCATAAACCAACATTTAGCAAATAGATCATCAAAAAATTTTGAACATATATTGTTGATACTATTTCAAACAATAAATTCACTATATTACTTCCATTAAAATATTGCAATTATCTATTTCAATTACCAAATTTTATAACTTAAATAAAAATTGAAAAGAATCTTCAAATTTAGTTTCGAAATATTTGTGGTGTTGTAATTATTTAAATATTATTAGAAAAAGAAACAAAGAAAAAATGCAAAATATAATAGATCAGCTAAAAAATTTAACAATTTAAAAATCTATTAAAATGATTGAAAGAGAAAAAATAGAATGAAACATACATCATATAGAAGGAAGCAATAAATAATACAATACTAATCTCACATTTCATGTTTTTTTTTTCAATTTAAATGTTTATTGATTGAAATTTCCAAATGTAATTTCAAAAAGAAAAGAATAAGATGAAATTAAAAAATGAAATAAAATAAGATGAAATATATTTTAACTTATGTAGTAATCATGAGCATTCACAGTGATCAATAATAAAAATTGAGAGTTAGAAGAAATTTAAAATAGTGCAGGGAACGTTCGTAAAAAGTAATTAGTATTGGAAATGAAATGTAAATAAATGATAGGAAAGATAAAACGGAGTAAAATCGTAGCAATGAATGATTTCGAGGTCATTTAGTACAACAACGTTGTATTTCATCTGTCCACTTTCTATTTTGTT